GTGAGACTACAAACACTCTTTTCTCGGTCAAATAGGCACCAAATTCAAAATTTATGTTACATTTCGACTACATATATAACCCACTTTCAATAAAGATTAATGTTTCCACGGGTGAAATGCTTCTTTAAATATAATGTCTAAAAGTAAATACTGTAGCTGTTAAAATAAAAACATAGTGTAATAAATTAAAATAACAAATATATATATATACTATATAGATATTTCATTTAACATTGTCTTTTGACATTAAACAAAGTTTTTGCATTATTCTTTTGGTTTTATATTGCTGACATCTGTTTTTGTATATGTGAGCTGTATTTGTACCTCAAAAGACAAATATTGGAGCAGGAAGACAATAGTGTTACAGTGAATCATTATTTAGAGATAAAATTAAATAGAACTTTAATTAACACAAAGGAAATGTTTGTGCCCAAGACAGATAAATACATACATTACATACATATACATATATTCTATATTTAATACAGAATATATGTATAAATCACTGAATTAAGGGTACAAAAAGGTACATTACAATATAGCATTAAAGCATTTTATTCTCAACTGTATATTTTACATTTTAGAAGACAAATGATGCTCAGCCCAGAAATACTGAGTTTGTACCAACAAAGTTTGATTATTGTATCAATATTTAAGCTATTTTATTTGGGGTTTTGATTGTTATTATAATGCTTCCCATTGAGCACACAGTCTGCTCTTTATTGGTATGTTTTCTCTGTATCCCCAGTTGTTTACCACCCTGTAAGCGGCAGTGAATATGGAGGTCAAGCTCTTGATTTATTATTATGTGGTTCATGAGATTTGGGTCAACTATCCCAATCCTGTTACCCTCCACCCTCTTTCTCCTTCTTCTTCTTCCTCCCACTCCACCCAGCACCATGTTGGGGGCCCGGTGCTTTCCCAGAGGCTCTTCTTCAAAGGTTTCATAACTTTATTATTTATTTATTTATTTATTTATTTCCCAGTCTGTCTCTTGCCAGTAAGTGGACAAACAACCCAGGCTGCTCCCTGGGATATCCCCGCTTCCTCCTCCTGCTCCTCCTTCCAGTAGCTTCGCTGCTGTTTGCCCTTATATGTCCACAGAGCTCTGCAATCACAGGAAGAGGCAGTTTGAGCAGATTTGTTATTGTTGCACGAGCCATCAACACTTTGGCACCAACTGGGGGGATTTGAAGTCAAAGCATGGCTTCGGCCCATACATTATCAGATAAACAATATAGTTCTGTCCAGGCAACCAGGAAACCACAAAACAAGGGGAATCCCTGCCTTTGTTCTGTTTGACGAGGAGTGACAGTTGAACGTTTTATTTGCTCATAAAAACTCACTAAACTGTTTGTTCCTCGTTTGAGGATTGCAGAAAGATCATTAAATTTCAATTTTAAGGTTTTTGATCAAGAATGGGGTCGCTGATGGGCACTGACAGACGGGGCAAGAAGCAGGAAGTCACCATGAGCGTTGCCAAGCTTTGCCAACGGGATGGACTCAATGGCTTCCGCCCATTGGTGAACCTGTTTAGTAATGTTCTCACTTTTCCTCAAACGCCCCCCTCATCCGTTCTTCTCACAATGCCTGGAAGTAGCCGAGACCTACATCTCCCTCTCTGTTTTCTTAATCGTTGTTTTCCTTTATGGTTTTTCCTTTTTTTCCTTTTTACAAAGCACACAATTGATCCGACCTCCATCCAAACAAATAAAAGCACAAGGACACACACACGAGCTCTGCACCTCCGTGCAAACACTTTACTTCCGATACACATTTTCAAAGGTCCATCCAAACATGGTCATGTTGTCTGATTAATTTAATCTATAAAAAGATAATTTATTTGTTTGTTGCAGTTTAAAATTAACCTACACTTGCATGCAATACAAAACCTATTTTCCACCAGTATTGTAGAGTCTCCTAGTTTACATCTCTATACAATACACTTATAAAATATAAATTAATAATATAAATGAATACAATTATCTATTTTTCCACTGCTGTTTGCACTGTTCAAAAAGTCTATATATTTCTTTCACAGTAATCAATCTTCTTTATAAATCCAGTGACCAGGTGAATCATCCTGCAGTCCCAGCTTTGTGTGAGCAAGAACAGCTTATCTGCCCTGAGTCAACCTTGAAGCTTTCTCTCCTCCTTCTTCAGTGTCTCCTCCTGTAAAATACTTTGATGTGAAGGAAATACAGTTCATGGTTCACGTTCACGGTGCCTCAATTAACTGTCCTGTGGCTGGTTTTCCGTGAACCCAATGCTGCCCTGAGGATGAAGTAACTTTCCGCTTGTTTTTTAGTTATTCGTGACCTCTGAGCCCTTGTCCTCCTCACTACACCCCCCACCCCCCCACTCCCATTTCTCCTCCCTTGTCTCCTGCTCGCTTTATTATTGACGGATGTCCTGCGCAGGCATTTTCATCCATGTCTCTGAGCAGCTTTGCAGGATGCATTCACAAGTGTGTATGTGTGTGTGTGTGGGTGTGTGGGTGTGTGGGTGTGTAGGGCAGTTCCTGCACATCTGTCGGCTGCATTTCTCTCAGGGCGGGGCAAAGGTTGTTTTTCACCACCAGGAGAAGGTGTCTCCCATCTAGATGGATCAATTTGGTCTTGCTTCCTTCCTTTTGGTCCTCATAACACAACGCCTCTGCTCTCAGGCAGCAAGCCAGGCGCTTCCGGACACTGTTGTGGGGCACTTATTATTAATGCCCGTTTACATCTGAACTGCTCAACTCAGCAATGACACAGTTTCACTTTGAGGGTCGTTGCTTCTTATATTTAAAGATCTCCTCCAGACATGTAATGGGACATATGCACAAATAGTCTGTTTGGAACAATAATGTGTCTAATATTTCTTCTTTCTGCAAAACAAGGACCAGGATTAATTTCTAAACTATTAGTGATGTCACAAATCATGCTCATAGGCCCCGCCCTTTAAAAAAAATTTCAATGAGCACAAGGGAGAAACTTTTCTACGTTCAGAAGATGAATGTAAACATCTTTCTAGTTGTCAAATTCTGCAATACATTCATCTGCACAATCAAACATCCAACTGTAGGGACAAGAAGAAAAACTATTTGAGTGAAGGGGGACTTTAAATAAGAATACTTGAGAAATAATGTTGCAAAATATGAGTGAAACTTGAATAACTTGAATAAAAAAAAATATTTTTGATAAGATCTCAATGATGAGGGCACAGCTTGTTTATCCAACAATAAGTTGGTCTTCCAGCTTCCTCTCAGACAGTTTCCTCTGTCCTGGAGTGGGGTGAAGGGTAGGAAAGCGTTGGTGGGGGAACACTGATGCTCTCTGGCTTACCCCTGGATAGTCAGGCACGTACTGCTTCTCCCCAAGGGTCCTCATATATATTTTTTCAACGTGGCACAAAAACACACTACGCTTTCCTGCCATTACTTCGCTCAGAGCTATGGGGGTTTAGAAAAACTAATAGGCCACTAAAAATACTTGGAGCCCGGGGCCTGGGCCAGGGCTTTTCCTGCGTTGCTTCCAGTATACGCGTGGGCCATTGAGGAAAGAGGAAACAAGCAGCTCTGGTTGTATGGGGGCTTCCTGCTCGACATTATAAAGAGCTTCCCTCCCTCCAGCCTCCTCTCACAGTGCTGATCAGAGCCAGTGGAGGCTGTGTGTGAGGCCCTGCTCCGCTGTTTGACTGTAGACTGAACACTGAGCCGAGGGGGTTTGACGTCAGCGCGGGGCACGTTAGTTCTCGTCCCTGCTGGTCGGGGTGAGTTGGAGAAGTTTTTCAGTATATTCACTTTTTTAATAGAGTGTCTGATAACTGATTGTTAATGAATTAGTCTTGTCTTGATTAATCCTTAATAGTGAACTGTTAAATTCAGATTTTAAAGTTTTAAATGATTGAATTATTTTGATTTGATTTGTTTTCAGTGACTGTGAAATCAATGTGGGTCTAATAAAAGTTTGAATTTAAGATTTTTTAACACCATATAATGTCTTGATGAGCTCTCAGTAATTCTTACTTTGCTGCATTTTGCAACTCTCTTGATATCTGCAATAATGTGACTAATGTGGATGTTTCTTGGTCTTTCCTCATGTAGGTACGAGTAGGGAGCTGGTCTCACCTAACAGATGTGTCTGGGACACTCCAGTCTATTTATTCAATCAATTACATATAGGTAGGTCATTATTGTGCATCATAATTTAAAAAAAATCTCTGTTCATGCAAATATTCAAATGATGTGCATTGCTTGCTTGTTTCATCTATAATGTCTTTTCTACAGATCCAGATGAGCACAATGGAAGTATTGGAAGGATGCAGGGTCGACAGAGCGCAGGAGATGAGGGCTGCTGCCCCAGCTGAGGGATATGTGAAGGAGTTCACGCGCCACTCCAACGACGTGCTGTTGAACTTGAACGAACTCAGGCACCGC